ATATCATATTTAATATATTAAAAATGTTATGATGAACGGGAAATCCATCGCCGAGATGCGAATAAGTATTTAATAGTTTGAATTTAAAAAATGAAACGTAAGTGTAAGATAACTCGTTTCTATAGCTATAACTAAAGCAACTCCTAATAAAGCTTGGCTGGCACCCGTTCAGACCTCATATCTTTTATCGACGAAGACGTCGTTTAAATCGAATTTGGCCCTTTTTCACTAATGTTTTTGGTGTAGCACATGAGATAATAACATAAAGCGATGAATTCCTAAGTTATTAAAATATATTCAACGTTTTTTTTTATAGGATAAGGGTGACAAACGAGCACACAGTCCACCTGATGGTAAGTGGTTGCTGCGGCCCATAGACATCTACATCTATCCTCTGTTACAAATCAAAATGTAGATGCGTTGTCACCCGTGAGAACTAAGATGGAATGCCTCATTTCCAGTAAAAAGGGCCTCCGGCCACCTGCACTCACCAAGCGAAACGCAGAGGTAAACTTCTACTTCACGCTGGTTTTCTGTGAGGTCGTGGTACTACCCCGGTTCGAGCCGGCCCATCCGTGCGACAGCAAAAGCTGCCGCGTGGCTCTACCACTGTTAAACGAACTCTACCACTGTGAAACGTTAGACGAAACGTAATAGCTGGGCTTCAGCCTCAAATTTTATGTTTGCATACAATCCAACTTACATACCTGTTTTACAAAGTATTAATATGTATATAGAAGGAATATCCATGTTTGTGAACTAAAAACTATTTCGAGGACATATGATTCAGCAAATAGTGCTAAAACATGGTTGTAGGAATTTCTTATTGTCTTCTTCTTTTTATTCATAACTAGCTGTACCCTCGACTTTGTTCGCATAGATTATTTGTTTTTAGTTTTATTACTTTAGACTTATTGGATTTTATTTTATAAACTACACTACAATTCCAACTCATTCAGATAGAACATCAGATAGATCATCGATAATAAATGTTTGAGTTTGAGACCAGCTATGTCAGACATATAACCTTACTGGAACAGCATAAATACTACTGACTGCTGATTAATCTTTGATTAAATAGTATTCAAAACTTGGGACGTATAGAAGGTATAGGAACTGTATAGGTGATTTCTAGCATGTTGCTTTTACAAGTAACAAACATTAAGATTTTGTAATAAATATTAATTGGCTGTCAAAGCGTTTATCTTGTTATTTCGGCTTATTACCAACGGCCACGAAATTATTACCACGAATAATTTATTCCCCACTGATATTTTTGTTATGCCCTATCCCACTGTTAATCTACCTGAGGTTTGTTTCCCTCTGACGCCTATTACGGCACCCACGGGACAGTCAATAAAATTATATCACTTCATTTTTCTTTTAAATATTATTATTAACGCATTTAATAATATTGGTACGCTAACCGATATAAAGTATTGTGAATGTTAAGATGTGATGAAGAGGCGATTATGGGAAATACCAGAAAAACCTTCTGTCTTCCAGCGAAATGACAGGATTGACCGTTCTGTGAACGCCAAACGTAAAATACCCAGGACGTGATGGGCAGATACTATAATCGCCAATTTGACTGCCATGCGTGGCAATTACGGAAAACAACACGACGGGGGAAGCTCATGCCCAGCGGTAGACTTTTGTGAGCAAATAGATATAGAAATGTTTTAAATCAATACTCATCATTTATCATCATCAGTCCACTGCAAATTATGAGGTTGATGATGACTTCTCGATGAACTGTGTACGCTATTTGTCCGAGTATTACAAATTATATATATATATATATATATATATATACATATATATATATATATGTATATATATAATTTGTAATACTTGTACAGAATCCCCATCCTTGTACAGAAAATGGGAGATGTGGGTATACGAGGTATTCCACTTGAGCTACTTAAGGACTACCTTATGGGGATTGCACAGAGAGTAAAAATGGGTCATACTATAAGCGGTCGAATGAATGTAACTTACGGTGTTCCGCAGGGCAGTGTCTTGGCCCCAACCCTTTTCCTTATCTACATTAATGACCTCTGTAACATAAAGACTGGGGATGCTAGGATCATTTCTTATGCAGATGACACTGCTGTGGTTTTTATGGATCATCTTGGACTGCAGTGAAAACTGAGGCTGAAAATGGATTATCAGAAATTGGTGAGTGGCTCAGAACTAATCTGTTGACACTGACACTAAATACACAAAAGACTAATTACATGTGTTCTTCAATTTTAGACAGTAATCAACCCAGTAATGATTTTAACATTCAAATACATATCTATAATTGTGATAGGGATGCTAACTGTCGCTGTCCCTCTATATCTAAGGTAGCATCAACTAAATATCTTGGTATTATGCTAGACCAAAGACTTTCCTGGCAGTCGCATATTGATTTCGTCACGACTAGAACACGTAAGCTGATGTGGATTTTTAAAATGCTAAGACATGTTGCCGACAAGAAACTTATCAACCAAGTGTGTATGGCATTAGCTCAACGCATATTAATTTACTGTCTGAGAGTTTGGGGAAGGGCTCTAAAAACTAAATTTGTCATGGTTGAACGGGCTCAAAGAGCGTTACTATAAAGGTGATGTATTTTAAAAATCGTAGATTTGCAACACAAGCTCTATATTCCGTTGCTGATATCCTAACAATTAAAAAACTATATATTCTTCATACTGTAGTAAAAAAACACAAGTCATTAAAATTTTATCCAAGCATATTGCATAAAAGAAGACATAATAATGTGGCCACAGTTAAACTTACTCATACTCAATTCGCAAGAAATCAATTTCACTATTTATCATCGTTATTATACAACCGCTCCAATCAAAATTTAAATCTATATCCAGTGACGAGCTGGCAATGTAAAATAAATTTGACTGTTTGGCTTAAAAAGCTACAATACACAGAAACTGAACTTCTTCTTAAATAAACTTTTATTATTTATTTTATATATATATATATATATATATATATATATATATATATATATATATATATATATATATATATATATATATATATAATATATATATATATACAATACCTTTTTAATTTTTATGTAATCCTATGAAGAATATCCACTCGTACCTCGTTATTGTTTCTAAAATATATCGTATTCAAATCTTTCAATAAAGTAACGCATGCAGAAGTCAAAATTCGACGTCACTTCAAGTCACTTCACACCAGATGCTACAAAAATATTAAATGTAAAAGTTAATGTTTATTTATTCATTCATTTTTTTCAACCGCAGTTTTTTTATTTATATTTCTGTTATTATCAGGAGGGTGCTGCTGCCCATCTCCTGTTTCATTTCACTATTAAGAGACCCATGAGACGATATTGGGTAGTATCAAAGACATTTAAGTAGTAGTAGTAATAGACCGAACATCAGCAGCAAAATTGTCGTCTGTAACTTATGTCCTATAGGATATATCTCCGTTAGTCTTAGTGACATCTTCATAAAGTCAAGACGCATTCTTTTTATATCTTAAAAAAATATTTTTATAGAAAATATGCCCGGATGTGCATTAAGATATTGTAAGTCACGATATGGAGCAAAAAATGAACAATAAAAATAAAAATAAAAGTTAATTTTGGCGGTATGATCATTTAATTACTTGGTAAATTTACAAGCTAATGCTAAACGGAATTGAGATAAAGTGCTTTCGTACTTGGATGTAGGGTTCTTGGATTAATGCGATGGTTTTCTTTTAATTTCCCAATATAATCGGTTTATTGCTTCTTTTTTCCTATTTTAGTCGTTCATGAGAAACTAAATTAAAACTTCGTGGAGTTTAGGTATTTTCCCATATTCGTCTCTAAACACACTGACGGGATAAACTGAGGTATTGGACGTTTGTGCCGCCACCACTCAACACACGAGACTGCCACTTCAAAATTGCCTCTCCCGCTTATCTGATATCCATTCTTTGAGCTTTATGGCCAGCAATACGCAGACATCAGTATCGATAAATATTATATCACACATAGAAACTCCTTACACCGTAGATGCACAGACCGCGGCCCGTCGGTCGAATACTGGTGGCCCGCCGACAGCAAAAATAATACTTTCGTACATTCGAAAAATATTGAATTATATTTCAGAATAAAACCAAAAAATATATGTTCGAAAAGTAATTTGAATCTTGCGCGCGCGCTCTTAAGTGCGCTTATCGGTGCGCCGTGCATGCGTCGGTAACAGCGGTCGGTAATGTTCGTGCTGGTCTCGGTTAAATTCGTTTTCTTGAGGAACCGCCGAGGCCGGCGGCGCATCGACGACGGCAGCGCGGTGGCGGCTTATCCACGGGTTATATTGTTAGAGCAAGCGAGATAGCAATAGTCCCGAATTCCCGATTGCTCGCGTAGGTAGATACACGAAGCTTCCAGAGTCGGTTTCGTGATTTCTCCAGATAGTTTTCGACTCTATACGCGCGGTATAAAAGCCACGCTAACCGCAGCGACCGACAGTTCGGTTTTAATTTGAGTGAAGTGTCAATAGTTCTAGTGTAGATTTTAACTCGACTAGCCGGTGTCATATATTTTGATCCACATTCAACATAGATTTCCCGTTAAGTTCCGTGTATATTGTGTTGTGAAATTGTAAGTAAAACTCTGTTATTAATAAGTGTTTCCCTACCTATTTAATCAATTATTTTTGGTAATTTAAAAAAGGATGGGTAATTTAAGTAGGTACTGTGATTGTTTTTAGGTGCTGTGTTAATCCTAGCCAGGATTAGAACGCAACATTGACAAGCCAGGACCTAGTAAAAAACGTAAGGTCAAAGATGAAAATCGGCAGTTTCAAGAAATTTGGACTGAGAAATACTTTTTTCTATGGTCGCATAACAAAGTCGTTTGTTTAATTTGCAAGAATTCTGTTGCGATTGCAAAGGAATATAATGTAAAAAGGCACTTTGAAACGCAGCATCCTACTTTTACCAAGTTTACAGGCGAATAAGGAAACCAAAAAATGTTGTCTTTAAAACGGGAGCTTATTGGTCAGCAAGCTATGTTTACAAAACCCATTCAAGATTCAAAAATAGCTAAAGAAGTTAGTTATGAAATTTCTCGAATAATAGCAAAGCGAAGTCGCCCCTTAAATGATGGGCATTTTGTAAAAGAATGCATAGAAATTGCCGCTGAGAAAATGTGTACAGAAGCAGCAAAAAACTTTGAGAAAATTCAACTGAATCGTATAACTATCCAAAGGCGAATTATGTCTTTGTCAGGTAATATTGCGAAACAATTAAATGAAAAAACTAAGATAATTGAATTTTTTTTCATTAGCACTCGATGAATCCACTGATATTAGTTCCATAGCTCAACTTCTGATATTCATACGAGGTGTTACTCAAGATTTTGAACTCTTAGAAGGGTTATTAGGAATGTGTTCATTGAAAGGTCAAACCAGAGGAGTTGATATACTCAATGTACTTTTGGACGAGTGTTCAAAAACTGATTTGGACTTATCAAAATTATCGGGAATTGCGACTGACGGTGCTCCTTCGATGATTGGTATCAATTCTGGACTAGTTACTTTGCTGAAAAAGTATCTGCAAGAAAAAAACATAAACGCTGAAGATCTCATGCAGTTTCACTACATTATACACCAAGAAGCCCTCTGTTCTAAAAAAAATTGAATTTCAAAATGTCATATAAGTGGTAGTTTCGACTGTAAATTTCATAAAATCACGTGGACTCAATCACAGGCAATTCATACAATTCCTTGATGACATCGAAAGCAAATATGGAGATTTACTGTATTATACAGAATTACTTCTGTATAATACGGTAAATCTCCATATTGGTGGCTAAGTCCTGTATTGACACTGGAACGATTTCTAAAATTAATAGAAGAAATTGGCATATTTCTGGCGGAAAAGCAAAGGGATGTCCCGGAACTTAAAAATCCTGATTGGTTGTATGATTTGGCTTTTTTAGTCGATATTAAAAATCATTTCAATGTCTTGAACACACGGCTTCAAGGCAAAAATCAACTGATATCCCAGCTCTACGCTCATGTATCATCCTTTCAATGCAAGCTGACACTTTTCAGATCGCAATTGAATTCTGGAAATTACAATCATTTTCCGAATTATAAGAAAATGGCTGAAAAATTCAACAAAACTGCGATTAATTTCAGTTATGTAGAAAAGCTAGATATTTTGATTCAATCTTTTCAAGACAGATTTTCGGAGTTTAAAAAAGTGAAACCTCTCTTGGACATATTCAGCAATCCTTTCACGATTTCAGTTGAAAATGCATTGAAAAATTTCAGAAAAAATGAAAATAGAAATTATCGACATTCAAAACGACCAAGATTTACGCAACAAATTCAAAAAAGGAGACTTGGTGAACTTTTACCGCTGCATTGATAAAAATACGTACAAAGAGTTGCGCATAAACGCTCTGAAATGTGCCAGCTTATTTGGTTCTACCTATACATGTGAACAAACCTTTTCAATACTAAATAATAATAAAACAAAAAATCGAAACCGCCTTGCAAATGAAAGTTTGGAAGCAGTTTTGCGTGTTGCTACAAGTAAATTTGAGCCAAATATAAAAAAAATATTGTAAGCACTATGCAGTGCCACGCTTGAAATTAATAAATTCTTTTTCAATTTTAATACATTATTATCAATTCTTTATTGTCTTTAATTACCTATACTTCTGGCGGCCCGCCATCAGTTCCTAATTTGCCCAAGTGGCCCCTAGTCTTAATAAGTCTGTGCATCACTGCCTTACACTCTCAACAGTTCGAGGAGCGACTAGCTCATAAAGCCAGTAGTAATGGGCCAGTCTTGGTTCTGAATGTAAATTTGAATAAATAAATTCAATGTCAACATGCAAGTATTTGCTTTTATGTTTTGAAATATACCTGGCGAAAACTATGTCTCACTTCTCTGAAAGTGATCATACCAATGTAATATAACTACTTAAAAATTCTGGAGCTGAAGTTGTGTCGCTCACTTTTAACGGTGCTTCAACCAATAAAGCTATGTGAAATATTTTGGAGTGCAATGTCGATGCATTAAATTATTATTTTAAAGCTAATTATGATGAAGTAGTATATATGAGGCCAGATCCTTGCCATAACATCAAATTAATACGTAGCACATTTGGGAACAAAAAAGTTCCAGTTGACATACACGGAAAACAATTTTTTGGCAGTTATTAGAATTGTTAGACAAAATTCAAAGCATTGAAGGGCTTCATTTGGGTACTAAAATAAAAACTGAACATATTAACTATGTAAAGCAGAAAATGAAGGTACGTTTAGCTACCCAACCTCTTAGCGCATCAGTAGCAGACGCTCAGGAATTTTGTAAATTCAGGACTTTGATATAATGAATAGCCGAAATATGCGGACAAAATGATGGAAACGTGCGTTAGCAATATTTAACTTTGACGAAACCAAAATATTTTTTGAGTTCGCAAAAGAATATATAAACAATTTAAAATTTAAAGATGGTTCGTTCGTTATCAATTCTAATAGATCGACAGGTTTTCGAGTATTTATAATCTGCATGGACTCTTTAGTTGGTTTGAACCAAAAATATGTCCCCCCAGAAAACAGTGTTTTAAAATATCTATGTACCTATAAGTTCAGTCAAGACCATATTGAACTGTTTTTCAGATCCATAATGTCTAAGTGTGGTTTTAATAATAACCCACCAGCAAAAATGTACAGGGCTGCTTATAAACGGTTGCTGGTACATGCAGAGTTAAAAGATGGTTCAACAGGGAATTGTCTTCCTCTAGGAAATATAACAATATTAAATTACAATAATCAAAAATATAAACAATTATTAAATTCATCTACTGGAAATGGTAGACTAATGGACTTGCCTGATGTGAACATTAATTCCGAGAATTATTCTGACCATGATTATATTCTACGTGCCTCAAATTTAACAGAGGTTTTACGCACCACACGTAGTAGATTATATAGCTGGTTATGTAGTCAGAAATATAAAAAAAGGAAGTCATATGTGAAAAATGCCTCCAAAGTTTGGAAAATAACAGTGCTGAGAATCCGTTTTCTTTGATATCTATTAAATAGAGAGGAAGCCTGACTAAATCTTCGGAAAGTGTAAAAAAGTTGTGTAATACTGCAGAAAAAATTCTGCACGAGTTCGAAATTAGAATAGGCTCCAAATTCTTAGGACAACCTAATTATTTTTTTAACAATGATTAATAAAATATCGCAAATAATATTGCCAACATCTATATTCAGTGATCTAGATGAGCATTTGTTTGAGAATGATTTACTGGACGATCATACAACTTGTTAATAAAGTTGATCAGCAAAATGTTTATAAAAATTAGGATTCACTACATTACCATTACGTTTTCTGTTCCTAAAGAAAAGATTGGGACATTTTTAAATAAAACAATTATTTTTAAAGGACAATAATTTAGTTATTTATTTCGTATTATAATATTTTGTGCATAGAATTTGTGAGAAATAATTAAAAAATAAATATATTTTTTAATTTTATTGTTGTATTGGTTAATCTCACTATTTCAAACTTGTATAAAAAGTACTCTGTGGTTTTTATTAAGGTTACGGTGCCAAGGTTCACTAGCGCTCGATGTTTTTTCAGTAGTTTGGTTAAAAAAAAAATTAAAATCTCGAACGCTACTGAAATTACAACCCCGCCCGCCGCGCCTCCTGAGTATAATGATGATTTTAAACTCTGAAAATCACGGACACGCCATATTATAAATCTGAGGATATGATTTCACGCTTTCTTGATTTTACCATATACAAAAATACCAGTACCAGGCAAAATACTCTTTTGTCTATGACAATGTACGTTTTAGTTATCTAGTACTACTTCTATGCTTTAGTTATTGTTCTGAAGTATTACCACGGATTTTTAATTTAAAAGATAAAAAAACAGAATGATTGACATTTTTTTAATAATTTTTATTTTCACTATTTGACTGTATTACTTATTTTGAACCTCCTCTGCAAATTTGGCCGGTATATACAAACATCAATAAAATTTCGAGTACATTTTTTATCAAAATAAAATTATTACATTGTTCACATAGACTAGATTTTGGTAAATGACATAATTTTTCATTACAAAGTAATGAATATATTTTTTAATTTCATTAGAGTTTTGTGACCCCCATCTAATTTTATTAATAGGAACACATTTATAAATTTTATTGGTAAAAGTTTTATTACATAAAAATTTATGTCACAATCAATGTAAAGGGGAAAATGAGCAGAACAATTCACACTGTCGTCCACTCTTTAAGTGCTGATTTATTTTTTATTTTAACAGACTGAAGGCAAGTGCCCGGCTGTGGAACGTTAACGAGCTGCAACTTAAAGCTTTAACTATTATTACCAATGGTGGACTATTCACGAAATGATGGTAATGAATTGAAATATATAATGATTCGCCGAGTACCGAAACAACCTTGTGTCTGAATTCGAGTGTTTGCTGAACAAAGTCTCGGATTGGGGGCGACTAAATCTAGTCCAGTTTAATCCTCATAAGACACAAGTTTGAGCGTTTACCGCTAAAAAGAACCCCTTTGTCGGGTCTCCTCAGTTTCAAGGCACTCCCCTTCTTGCCTCAGCCAGTATCGGTATCCTCGGAGTCGACATATCAAGTGACGTGCAGTTTCGTGGTCACTTGGAAGAGAAGGCCAAATTGGCCTCTAAAAAGCTTGGCGTGCTCAGCAGAGCGGGACAGTATTTCATGCCAGCACACCGCCTGCAACTTTACAAGGCGCAGGTTCGGCCTCACATGGAATACTGTTCCCATCTCTGGGCAGGGGCTCCCCAGTGCCAGCTACTTCCACTTGACCGCATCCAGCGCAGAGCGGCTCGAATCGTCGACGACCGAGCCCTTTCCGAGCGGCTCGATTCATTGGCACTGCGAAGAGATGTTGCATCCCTTTGCATTTTCTTTCGCATCTACCATGGGGAGTGCTCTGAGGAATTGTTCGGATTAATCCCAGCCGCTAAATTTCACGAACGCACATCGCGGCAGTACTCCCGATACCATCCACACCATCTCGATGATTGGCGGTCTACCATTGTGCGATTTAGAAGATGTTTTCTTCATCGCACGACTTCCGTGTGGAATCGATTACCATCAGCGATTTTTCCGGACCGATACGACTTAGGGACCTTCAAGAAAAGAGCGTACTCCTTTTTAAAAGGCCGGCAACGCATCTGCAATTCCCTCCCTGGTGTTGCAGTTGTTCATGGGCGGCGGTAGTCACTTACCATCAGGTGAGCCGCATGCTCGTTTGCCCCCTCTCCTATAAAAAAAAAGATTTATTTGTTTACTTAACAAAATATGTTGTACAACGTTTTACTGCTTATTGTACTGCTACTGCTTTCAGATTTTATTTTTATTTAAAGTGTTATAATATTATTTTTCATTCCAAAAACAAAACTTACAAACACTTTCTTCGAAATTATATATTTTATAAGTTAGTCAATGAACTTCAACAATAAAATCTAGCATAGTAGAAACAGAACCTAATACCATTGTTTATCTTGCCTCGTTACAGTTATCCAATTATAAGTTTAAGTCGAAGAACAGAGTTAACAATGGAAAAGCGATGATTCTGCCTTATGCGGCGAATATTTTGATTTCATCTTTAA